TTTGTTAACACCACTACCTTTCTCCCCACCTCCCCCTCTCCCATGTCTCCCTGGAACTGTCAGTCCCTTTGTTTTCTCCTCCAGATTGTTCATCCCGCCTATCTTATTTAGACAAACCTGCAGAGATAATAACACGCACAGAAACAAGACAGAGCAATACCAAGCAACAATATACAGCAAACCCACCACCACAACAAACCAATGACAAAAAACAAAACCAAACACAACAAGAAAGAAAAGCTTGTAGTTAGTTCAAGAATCGTTTGTTGGTACCATGTGGATCTTATCACTTGTGAACTTCACATAAGTGGAACCCCGTGTCTGGCTCTTTTCATGGGAGACATTTCATGAGGTTTGTTCAGACTGTTGGGTGTCGGGGCTCAGTTATTCTCATGGCTGCGCACAGTGCGAATAGACCATGTTTTCCAGGCTCCTGTTAATCGGTAAGGAACCTTGGTGGCGTAGCAGTTACATGTAGGGCTGTAACCACGAGGTAGCAATTTGAACCCCACAGCTGCTCTGACCTGTGGGAGAAAGATGGGGCTTTCTAAACCCATAAAGAAGTAAGTCTCAGACACCCACTGGGGTAGTTCTACTCTGCCCTATTGGGTTGCCAGGAGTTGTAATTGACTCGATGGCAGTGAGTTTTTTTGTTTTGTTTTGAGCTGCTGATGGGTGTTTGGGTTGCCTCCAGTTCACTATTGTGAATAGTGCTAGGTCCAGGATGGATCTAGTACGAATCCCTTCACGTTCATCCAATGCATTTCTGTTTGTTGACCAGACATCTCAAGGAGGATGGAATATGTTAAGTGTAAAAAGGATGGGCTATGTTAACCGTTTGCCAACGTGGCTCTACCAATTTAAACATCCCCAGAAATCAGGATTAAGTGAAAAAAAGAAAAGAAAAAGTTCTAGCCTGCTCCACAGGGTTGCTGTGAGGCCGCATTGACTCAATGGCAGTGAGTTTGGGTACTAGGGTCTCAGTTTTCTCACGATGGGTTTATTCCAAACAAAATGTTTAAACACTTCTCTCCTGTCAACAGTGGGTTACAAACAAGTTCTTTTAATAGCCCTTGTCTCAGTCTTGTTAGGGTGCCATCCAACAAAACAAAACAAAGAAAACAACAACAAAAGGTCTTCCAGGGCGTCTGATGGGGGACCAGTTCAATTCAAAGAAGAAGGTCAGCTTCAGAAAACTATAGAGATGCCTTGGGGGGATCCCCAAGGGTTAAGACTGGTAGAGTTTTCTCCGAGGACATAGGAAAATCATAGGGGCTTATTATAAAGAGAGGAAGCCCTGATGTTCTACCACAAGGCCAGCAGTTTGAACCCCCCGAGGCCACAGAGGGAGAAAGATGAGGCTTTCTGCTCCCATAAGGATGTACAGCCTCCGTCACCCTCAGGGGGGCAGTTCTACCTGTCCTGTAGGGTTCCTATGAGTTAGAATGGACCCAGTGGCAGTGAATTTATTTATTTATTTGCATTTTTTGAAATAAATCATTGTATTGGGGGGCTCTTACAGCTCTTATAACAATCCATACATCCATTGTATCAAGCCCATTTGTACATATGCTGCCATCATCATTTTCCAAACATGGCCTTTCCATTTGAGCCCTTGGTATTAGCTCCTCTTTTTACCCTCCCACCCTCGTGATCCCTTGATAAATGATAAATGGTTATTATTTTCATATCTTACACCCTCCGCTGTCTCCCTCCACCCACGTTTCTGTTGTTCATCCCTCTGGGTGGGTGAGTAGGGGGGTGGGGTGGGAGAGTTATACTTCGATTATTGTGATCGGTTTTTCCTTTCTCCCTCTTCTCCCCTCACCTTCCCCCTACCCTGATGGTATCGCGACTCCTCTTACTGTTCCTGAGGGGTTTATCTGTCCTGGCTTCCGTGTGTCGGCAATGAGTTTATTATAAGGAAATTTAAAGAAAATGTTAAAGCGTGTTGGTGAGAAGAAGCTGTACTAAAGATTGTGTGTGTGTGTGTGTGTGTGTGTGTGTGTCCTCCCATCAGGACAATGTACAGTAGTTGCTCCGTTTTCTTGGGCAGCCAGGGCTGTTGTAAGGCGGTTTCTCTAGGAAAGCTCACCCCTCCCACCCTACAGGTCAGCCCTGGCCTCTCCCCAGACTCAAAGGACAATGAACAGGAACATGATGTGAGTCCCTTGCTGCCCAAATGGCCGGAAGCGCTGCCTTCCGAAGTCTGTACTCGCAGGTGGAATGTTTCTGGTCAGTGACTTCGTAGCTCCGTGGGCTGTGCCATGTTCCCCCCGTCCACTCGCGCTGCTTCTGGGCTCCCCTTGCGCGTGGGTCCTTTCGGTGGGTGGGGGCCCGCTCACATCGGCAGGACCCGCCGCTCGGCCGGCAGTTGAAGGAATGGGTGAGTGGCTACCTGGCGGGGGTGGACCCCCACTCTCACGGCCCCCCACCCGCGGACACACACAGGGCAATGCCAATTTAATAGAAGAAAGCAATGTCCTTCTGAAACCTTAATACTAAACCTATAAATATATGCACATAGATCTATTTCCCCATCCTCATTTATAA